CGCACAGGTGGAGGCAACCGGATCACCGGTGTGCTTCACAGGTGAAAGTGACCGGAATCTTTCCGGCACACCTCGCTCCGGTGAAGATAACCGGAAGAGTATTCTGCCGGGGACACAATGGCTAGCCACTCTGCTGTGCCGTTTGAGCATGGCGAAGGAGATGGAGACTATTTCCGCCAGGCAAACGATTCATATGCGACGAATCACCGACATCTCAATGAGCTACACCGTCCACAAAGGTACTGCCATCTTATGACGGACGAAGTAGTTGGTTCGCCTATGAGTGTGACTGGTGTGATATCACTGAGCCAGACAATGATAAGAGTGGACCAGCATTGAGAAATCGGTTGGAAGGTGAAGCTGCGATTCACAAGAGGCTTCTGGACACGGACCGCCTGAAGGACCCGAACAACGGAATTAAGTACTTCCAGGGTTTCCTGCGGCCGCTCTTCGTGAAGGGAGCCGCCAACGTTTTCCTCTATCGCTTCCAGCAGCTCATGAACCGCGGCAACGGAGACATGTTTCGTTGGAAGACCAGGTTCAATTGTCTGTCAAAAGGCTGCAGGAAGCCTGGACACACCTACCTCCCAATCACGGACTCGAACAATGCTGAGGTCCGAGCGTTCATGGCAAATCTTCCAGCAGAAGAACAAGCAGACAGTACACCCGAAGATGCGATGAACCGAGCCAACGATCGGCTCAGAGATCAGCATGTTCGGACGATTCCGATAACGGCCAACCTTGTGCCAGTCATCCTTGTCTCCCTGTCCCACCTCGCGCAGGATCAGCGGCAGGTGCTGACATTACTGATGGCACAACGGAACCGCGCGTTGGCAGACTACCGTCTTGCGGAGTTACGCGAAGTCTACCTAGAGATCTTTTGCACGACCAAGACTACCGTCGTCGATAATCCTCTCCTCGCTCCTTCTGGTCATGGTGGTCGCAAGACGTTTTGGGTGATTGACGAGGGCTCCTCGGACAATTACGAAGGCTATCGGGTCGAGGATGAAGAGGATGGCGCAGAAGGGTTCCTTGAAGCAGACGAGGACGCCTTCTGGGTCTACGACGAGGAGAGCTATTCATGGTTCCAGCGACGCTTCCAGGTCACAGGATAAAGCGCGCATTCAAAGGCCGCCGCAAAGGCAAAGGAAAGGGTGGCAAGAGATCCAGTGGAAAGCGCTTCTTCAAGAGGAAGAAAGGCAGGTCAAATCTTGCCGATGGTGAGACAGATTCTTGGCAAGACAGCCAATGGCAAGATCAGTCTTTTGATGACTGGTCCTGGTATGAGTCTGAGGAGTCCTATGCAGCCACAGGAAAAGGAAAGAAAGGCAAGAAGGGCAAGGGAAAGAGCAAGTTTGGCAAAGATGGAAAGGACGGAAAATCCGGCAAGGATGGGCAGGCCGAACTTGCAGATATTGCCCAGAGCAGCACAACAACTGCCAACAACCTTTTTCGTTGAACACGTCAACCCGTTGAAGTTTCCTGCATGGCCACCGAGAACAAGATCGATAAGATCGAGGAAGCATTCATCTCTCAGCCCTTGACGCCAACCTCGACGGCGTTGGGTTTGGGATGTACGAGACTACGTCTCAGTGGACAAGCGCAAGAAGTCGAGCTTCCTCACCTACTTCTCACCTGACGAGTACGGGTTTCATCAGAAAAGTCTGGGAAGCTCTTCACAGGAAGAGGAACCCAAGAATCTCGTCTTGGCGACTGATGATGAGTGGGTGATCAACGAAACCGACATGGAGATTATCCGTAGCCACAAACAAGTGAGGAAGTCGAAGTACGAACCCAAGGAAGGATCGGTGCCCATTCCGTTGGAGTACTTGGACAACCAGCGCAAGACGATCATGGAGTTCTCTAAGAGCAAGAGGTCTCAACGGTCCCTCCGCAGTACCAGCGCATGTTGGCAAAGTTGAACAACGATGTTGAGCTTCACGTGAAGCATTACCACATGAGTTCTTCTCAGTTTCGACGAAGGACCAGCATGCTTGGGCTGCCGCGAGAGATCTATGATCTATGACAAGCACGACCGCATTGTCAAAGGCTGTTGCGTTTGTAGCATCTCCGTGCCAACGCCTCCGCGAGCCAGAATCGCAGGGTTGAGAGCATCATCCTTCGGAGATATTGTTTTCGTAGATTTTCGAGGAAATCAAGTTTGGAATAACAAAAGTATATCGTGCGTTGGTTCTCATTGATGATCATTGATGGTGCCTCTAATCTCCTGTGGGCTATGGCTCTCACAAGCCTGGAAGCGCCGAGACTCTGGGAGCTTTTCGACAATGGACAGAGGAGAACAACTGCATTCCGAAAGGAATCGTGATCAAGCATTTTTCACGCCACAGGTCATGTCCTAGTCCTAGTACAGGTTTCGTGGCATTACTCCATATCCTTGCTCAGGGGCCGGGATGGATGCTCCAATGGACACCTCCGAGGTCAGAGCACAGGCAGCGGACTTACCTCAGGATGAGATGACTGACCCACCTGACGTGCCGATGCAGATTAGAGCTGCGGAAAGCTCTCCACAACAAGAGGCATCTGGAGTGACTGGAGTGAAAATTGAACCTACCGAAGTCTCTCCTCAGGGAGAGGTATCGGAACCCAAGGATGAGCACATGGCCACGGAAAGCTCACCATATGATGAGGAATCCATGCCAGACATTTCTCCCAGCAAGGCTGATAAGTGAGCTTCACGATCAAGGCATCTGGGGGAAATGCAAGAACGCCGTTGATCCGGCGTTGTCCGAGGCCGCAAAGGACGCCGAGGCCCAGAACGAGAACGCTTTCGATAACCTTGAGGGCGCCAATGAGAAGAAGGGCATCGTAGACACCGATGAGTACAAGAACTTCTGTTCAAACCTAGTCAAGCTGGAGAAGACAAGCCCTCTGAGTATGCTCAAACAGAAGCACGGCTATGGTGACGGTGGTTTTATCACAGCGGTGTCAGGGGCTATGAGAACGATCCCATCAGTGAACTTAAGGTCCAGCACATGAACTGGCGTGTGGACGTTCCGCCGCATGCCGGGATGAAGTATCATCTCTCAGAGGATGACCTCTTCAAACTACCGCTTATGAGCGACGTCCGGATCGATTGGATGTCTATTGCTCTGGCGATGTCAGAAGCAAATTGAATGACCGTCTCACGGAGAAGGTTTCAGATGTCAGAGCTTCAGCCTTTGAAGTCCAGGATGCACTCTTGGACGGCTCAGTTCAAGCGGCAATCCAGCAACCAAGGAGGAACTTCTCAATGTGATGCTCCACTTTTTCCTGTCAGTTGGGGTTGATGCTTCCGTTCTGGACTTGCAGAGGATGGACCAGTTCCTATTTACACAAGCAAGTCCAAGTATGCCTGCCGCTCTGATCCTGACTCTGGGGAACCTTTCTCGCGGCCGAAACATACAGCGTCGTCAGCCTACTCGGGCCTCATGGAATACGATTCTTCTGGTAAGAGTCGCGGGGCGCTCGTCAAAGTCCATAGCTCAGAGCAAGTCCTCTTCATGTTGCGCGAGGCTTCGGAGATTTCGAAGGATGAGCTGGACTGCCTTGATTCAAGGGGATGGCAGACAATCCAGAACGCACTCGTGCCGAGGGACGAGGTACGACCGTGTATGCTAGCGCTAGTATCCTTGTGTGAAACATCGAAGGTGTTTCGCTAGAAAACGTCGAAGGGGTTTTATCTGAAGCTAACAGAAAGCCAGTCTGTTTGCTAGAGTGTCTGCACATGGCCAGCTATTCCGTGGCCATTGTGCTGAAAGGCCCCTGCTATTGGGGGGCAAATTTCGAGTGGGGGTAGGAAAGGGAACAGGGCTAATTAGCCCTGCTTTGGGTGCGCTGCCATGTCGGACAGCGACGCTACCCTGGCGCCCACAACGCCAGACGGCGACGGAGCGGCCGCTGACTGCGCTACCGTGATTGGGGATTCCCCCCCCCCCGCTAAGTTCGTGCCCTACTGAGGTACCCACTGCGCTACTCGGGGAGGTACCTTCGTGGGTCCCGAGTACCCCGGCTAGTGAACCTTTTTCGGAGTGGGATGGAGCTGGCTGCAAGAAGCGTGGCAGGAGGCTACCATTTACCAGCGGACGCACGGGATGCCACCGCTACCTGCTCCACTAGAGGAAGCAGTGGAGGCTACGCACACACCATCAGTGCCGCTAAGACCTCCCCCCTCTTGGAGCGCAACAGGAAAGTGCTAGAGCCAGGCTCCGTGAAAGCCGGCAAGAAAGGTCCGGGAGGAGCTGCTAGAGATCCACGCGCCGGTGCAAACCAAGCTACATGGAAGCCTGGACCCGGTCCGGGCAGCAATGCTACTCCCTGGGGACTCGAGCTTCAACCTTGAAGCGCTGAGCTATTACAGGCAGTGGCGCCAATGGCTCCACGCCGCTAAGCTCAGGCCGCCTCCGGGCACTGCTGCAGACCTAGTGGGTTTCCTGCTCGCTAGAAGCGACGAACCATGTGGCCGATCGGTGCCCGAAGCTATTCTCAAGGCTATCTCCTGGGTGGAGAAGGTGGCCGACTTCCCGGTCGAGCTAAGGACCACCTACGGCCGCCTGGTCTGGGCCGCTAAGGACAGCATCGTGGAGAAGCTAGCGGAAGGCGCCCTGCTTATCAAGAGGGCGCCCCGCTACCCGGTTTTTTTACTGGCGCAGCTAGAGTTGGTGGTGGTGAACACCGCACTGGCTGTGGAGGGCCGCCTCGCTACCATCCTCCGCAAGACGAAAACGTCGGGAGCTACGGAGGCTCAAGGAGCTACTTGTGGTCGTGTCGGAGCATGCCTTCTTGGTGGCTGACGCTGGTGGGAGTGAAGCTCTGGGTCCCGGAGGGGAACGCTAAGAAGACTTCAAGGGTCGCTATCCGTGGATACACGAACAACCAGTCCAACGAGGCGCTACTGAAGAGGCTTTGGCTCAAGCGCGATCTCCTCGCGATCAAAGCTGGGTGTCGTAGGGTAGGGCGGCTGCCAACAGTGCTTGCCGTTTAGAAAAAGCTGTGCTCGAGCGATGGCTCCGTCATCCGGTGGCATGGCACGCGACTACTTGAACAAGTTCCGTTTTCTACTTCAATCGACTCCTGAACTTTCCCTACCCAAAGTTCCAGAGAAGCCACAAGTTCCATACTACGCCGTTTGGGTTGACGGTCGTAAGTTGCGGTTTCCCTTTGAGAAGGGCGACCTCTCTGGTGCTACACCTTTGTGGAAAATCCATGCCATTTTGGCACAACGGAAACATGCAGTGATGAGGGAAGTCCTTCAACCTTGGTTGTGGGACCACACACATGTTCCGAGCGAAATTGCACATGCCGACCATGATTCTGCCTGCCATGACTTTGAGAGAGATGGGCGAGACCTTTTTCTCTGCAGCTGTTTGTGGCGACGAGGACATTCGTATGGTGTGTGCCTTGAGACCGGCCATTTTGGCCGCCCAACCAGGTTCTTCGAGGAGGACCTAGCCTGCAGCAAGGAGCGGGCGTTTGCGAACAAATACGTTCAGGACGATCAGGATGCTGACGCCGACCATGGGGGCGATCCTTGCCCCCACTCCGCCTCCCTTGGAGGCCCGTTGGCAGATGACTTTGACAAGGGTAAGGACAGTGGCACCGTCACTGCACACTGCCCCACTCTGGAAATGGTTGCAAAAGCCTTCTTTCAGAGCAGCCTGGGTGCCTGGATCGCGTCGACCCAGGCAATCTGCGATGGTAGCGGCCAGTCCCTCTCCCTGACCAAGGCGATTCCGCCGAAGGACTACAGCGAGCACGCCGAGCCGAACCGGAATTACCTGTTCCCTGGCGGCGACTGTGGTAGCGATGATGGCCGCCTGTACGACGACAATTGCGAGCATGAAGGTGACCAGCCCTGGCTCCAGAGAGTTCTTCTTTGCCGCCAAGGTGTAGGAGTAGAGAGTGAAAATTTCAAGAACGATGACAAGACCCGCGAAGGGCAAAGAAGTGAGTTTACGGCCAGCCCCATCCCCTGTGAAAACTGGTCGAAACAAGAAAATGAAGAGCCCGCGAGGCCACTCCCGAGCCCTAACCCGCCACCGGCCCGTTCTGGGCCCCCTTTTGGTAGCTTCAACTGTTGCCATGGCAAGCGGCGGGATGGACTCGGCGGCCAGAGCTTCATCGACTTCGGCGACGGCGTTGTGGGCTCAAGACGGGACTCCAAGACGACGATCGTCTGGGAGGACAACCAAGATGCAGGCAGTCACGCCCTGCAGGAACCTGGCGCGCCCGACCGAGCATGCTGTGCCATAGCTTGTGGTGCCGAAGGGAATCCCTTCTTCTCTTTCGGGTCTTGGCCTCACGATCCCCCTAGTGGGTACCTGTGCTGTGCTACCGCCGCCCCTACTGCCCCCCTAGGGTTTAGGTCCTTCCCTTCCCTAGGTGGTTTTAGTGGGTCACCCGTGTGCCTTCCGGGCGCCGACGACGACGAACCTTCCGCCTTCCTTGGGTTTAGGACCTCTCCCTCCCTAGGTGGGTTTTGTGGGTCACCCGTGTGCAGGCTGTTTTGCCAAGACGACGGACGCAGGACACATGATCACTGTGACGGTGCAGTTGTGTGGGAAGACACTTGTGATGCAGGCAGCCATTACTTGCCAGACCCTTTAGCGGAGTCTCCGTGCTGTGCTGACTTTGTCCCTCCTTTCCCCCTCGGGGTTAGGTCCTCTTCCCCCTTAGGTGGTTTAGGTGGGGTACTTGTGTGCACGCCAGCACCTGGAAATGAAGACGATGAGGATTTCAAGTCCCGTGGGCTTCGGCTGGGAGCCCCTCCGGAGGACTTGTGCAGGGCACCTGCTTGGCAAGGTGTCACTCATGCCAACATCGTTCCCCACACCCCCCTAGGGTTTAGGTCCTCCCTCCCCTTAGGTGGGTTTCTTTCTCGAGGGCTGCTGTGTGAGGACATCACTGCTGCCAGTGACCAGTGCTTTGACTTGTCGATCAGGTCGTGCCCAGGCTTGGTCGGTGAAGCTGCCAGTTTCAATGAGGAGAGGCTGCCTTGCACGATTGATGGTCGAGGCCGGTCGAAAGACCCTAGAATATCCATTGAGAGTGCGGGCTGGTTTGTGCATTGGGACCAGTTTGCTGAAAGTGACCGACGCCGGCAGCATACAGGGTTGCAGGGCACGGAGGGTTCAGGTAGATCGCAAGATCCAAGCATATCCCTTAGTGCCACTTGTTTTCCTTGGAGCGCCGAATCCGCTGATGCCAGTTGTTGCGATAATTTTGCGTTTTGCTTCAATTTCGACTTGTGGGGGCTGCACACTGCACGGACAACTGGTGCCGTGGGTTCAGGCAGATCGCAAGATCCAAGTATATCCCTAGGTGCCGAGACTGTTGCTAGGAGCGCCGAGCATCATTCATATGATCATGCAGTCTTATGTCGAATCGACGCCAGGAGCCCTGACCTCCTGAAGCCGCGACATGTTGAAGGCACCGAGTCCCAGGACCCGGGATTTCTTCAGTGCATTTGTGAGGCTGCCACGTGGGTCGGGTATGCCCTGCCCTTGGCCTGTATCCCCCGACTGCAAGCTTGTTGGTCGCCTTTCGTTGGGGTGCGTGTTGGAGAAGCAAGTCACCCAGGCCCCAAGGGGTCCGAGGGTAAGAGTGGCTTTAATCTTGATGTTGGCAGCCTTCTGGGGCCTGATTTTGCAGCGACTATTCGCTCTTTCATCGAAGCGGCCGTTCAAAAAGCCATCCAGGAGGCTCTGCAGGGACTTTCCCTTGGAGGCAAAGGCGGCCACGACCCTGAGCAGCCAGGCCCCAAACGCCGTAAGCGCAATCACGGCAAAGGTGCTGCAGCTGCCGCGGGTGAGGACTCGGGTGGGCATTCTGGAGCTCTTGCTGCTCCGACAGACCCAGGCTCCTCGAATGCCAAAGGCAAGGCCAAAGGTGGTGACAAAGGAGTCGGCAACACTCCGACTTCGGGCACGGCTGGGAAAGGCCGGGGCAAGGATGCTGGAAAGCCAATTGAATCGGGCCGCGGGCGAGGCAAGGGCGACAGCGCTCATGGCAAAGGCCAGCCCACCGGCGCAAGCGCGCCTGATGATGAGTGGCAAACGGTCAGCCGTCATAAGCCCCAGGCCCCGTGGCGTTTGAGGTCTTCTGACTGGACTGCTCCTGCAGTTATTTTCGACGAGGTTGCTGGTCAACTCGAAGGTTCCACCGGTACCTATAAAGCTGTTGTTCTGTGTGGGCCGGGACAAGCTGACTTGCTTGCTACACTGCTTTTAGGGTCCAAGCGGCCCCATGGAGTCATTGCCGTTACGCCCGACGATCCCGAGGCCTCTGCGAGATGTCCGGGCGAAGCCGGCAACCAGTGTGCTTTCAGACAGGTTCGCTATCACCACATTAGCACGCCTGGAGTCGATCTCCCGGGCCCAAAGGTCGCTGCGGCTAAGGCTCAGAAAGTCGTTGCAGCAAAAACTGTTGTTCTTTACGCCAGGATCTACAAGAAGTTCGTTCCAAAGGCCACCTGGAAAGACGTTCTTGTCAGCCCCCAGAGGGCCTTCCATTGCTGGATTGCGCAACAACACCTTAAGGTTCAGGATAGCTGGGGATGGGCCAAGGAGCAGGCTCAGGGTGAAGACTACAAAGTCTACGGACTGTTCAGGGTGCCAGAGGCTGAGGTCACCGCTTTTGTAGCCATGAGTGGGCGAGATGGTTTCTTCATTGACCCGCCGCGATGGACACCCTTCCCTTCCTTTCTTGTGCAATGGGCTGAGAAAGAGCCCAAAGAAACTGACCTTGATTTTCTGCAGCGAGTTCGCACCATTGAGGCCCCCTTTGGCATCGTCGTTGGGCGGCGGGGCCTGGGTAAACGCATCCCCAGGGATGCCAGCCAGGCGATTACTCGAACATGGATGCTCGAACATGCGCCTTTCGACTGGAGTGCGGCTCAGGCACTTGAGGCCGTATCGACCATCTTCACTGAGGTGACCATGACCCGCCAGCAGCGCACACGCAAGGGCATCAACTTTTTCTTCCGTGCTGAACACACCACAGATCATGACGTTGTTGCCCTGCCCTTCGAAGACGGGACGAACACCGAGATCCTTTGGTGCAGGTGGGCACCGGTTAGGGCCCGACCACAGGCCCAGACCATCCGCACTAACGGCTCCTGGTCCTTGCTCCCGCCTAAGGACCCCTTCAGCGACACTACCAAAACCGCTCAAGTTGCACCGCAGCTGCAGGACGATGATGAGGAGGCCGGTGATGCCGAGGTCTCGACCACGCCTGCTTCCGAAGCCGCCAAGGAGACTAAAGAGGTCACCGACAAGGAGACCAAGCGAGTCGCCCCAAGAAAGGGCCCCGGAGCGGTCAAACGGGCTTGTACTGAAACCCGAGCCCTGCCCAAAGGAGTTGAATTACAACCGGCTCCCACCGATGGCAATTGCCTTTTCCATGCTGCCTCTGCAGCTCTCGCACATGTTCTTAAGGCCGCTCCGGAACCCCACAACGTTCTTCGCGCAAAAGTCGCGCAACACTTCAAGAAACATGCGGACCGTTACGAGCTGACCTGGGACAAGGAGCTCCCCAACAAAACTGTTGGGGAGTCGTTCCAAAAGTACATCGATGCAATATCCGTTGTTGACACTTGGGCAGGTCACCTTGAATTAGCAGCCTTGGGGCGAATTTTTGACGTGAAGTTCGTCATTTACCCCACTTCCCCCGAGCTTGCTGTCTGCGCTGTTCATGCTCAACAACGCAAAAGGGTAGTTGCTTTGGCCTTCAACGGGAGTCATTACGAATGGCTCCGGCCCACGGGGAAATTGCCACAGGAGCTTTGTGACGTTGCCACAGCACCTCCCAAAGTGCCGATGAGAGGGGGCGGCAAAGCTCTCTCCGACGTGCCTAGTGCCACTGGGTCGCGTCGGACTGCTTGGACCTCGAATTCTGAAGTTGGGAGTGCCCGCTCTGTGTGGACGCCGGCAGAGACTATTGTTAGTTCCTGCCAAGCGTCGGTCTGGACCGCCGGGTCCAACAAAGGCTCCGGCTTCAGCTCTGCGGTCTCCGTGCAGCCTGCAGCTTCTTCTGCCCCTGCCCTTGGTAGCGCAGAGCTTGATGACCTTGTTTGCCCTGAAGCCACTAAGCTGCCCACCGACCGACAGATCAAATACTGGGGCAGAGCCGGGTGGCGGGTTGGCCGCAATACAGAGGTCGTTTGCCCTCTGTGTCCTTTCCGTGCCGTTGCCAAAAATGCTGGTGCTCGCAAGTCCATTCTCTATGGGCACTACAAGACCCATCATCCCGGCAAGGTTCCATCCGGAGTTGTGCATGGCGCCAGGCAGCCTACCCTGATCAAGAGAAGTAAGGGAACCGCTTTGCATTGGAAGTGTCCTCTTTGCACATTCGGCATTGCTGCTCGGGACGCCTTCGCTAAAGGCGCTGACGCTGTTACGGCTGACAAGCGAGCGCACTGCACGCAAGCACACCCCGAAACCTCTTGGAGTCGGTTCAAGGCCATCGACAGGGCTCAGGTTATCGACAAGGCTGCTGTCACACGTCGTGGCCGTGAGTGCTTGCGGCGCCTTAGCACCGCAAAAGGTACCGAGCTCGAGGGATTCAGGCTCTTTTGTTGGCCCTACGCCACCCCTGCGAAGACATTTGCAATCACTGCCGGCATCCGGTCCGGCTTTGGCTGGATGTGTCTTTCATGTTTCGGCCCTTACCGATCTCCCAAGGATGCCATTGCTCACGTCCAGAAAGGCAATTGCCAGCGTGCTCTCGCGCGCAGCAAGGCAAAACGTCGCATCGCCGCCATCGACAAGCTTGCCAAAGTCCATAGTAAGCGAGCCCCGGCCGGGACCAAGAAGCAGAGGGAGAGCAATTTACTCCAGCAGGCACGTGAAATCTTTCAGTTGCCGCTTTCATCCGATTAGCCACTATCAACATCGCAGGCAAAGGGGTGTCGTCTGTGGACACCATTGCCAACTACATGCAAAGCCACGGCCTGCAAGTGTGCACCATTGCTGAAGCTGATATCGGCGAGCGGTCCGCTGTGGGTTACTTGAAGGCTTGGAAGACCAGAGGGTTCCATGCCTCTCTTTCGCCTGTCGACTCTGCTGGTAAGAGCCGAGCCGCCCTAGTAAGCAGCATCCCGTTTCGCCCTTTTCAGTTTCCTGATGGGTTAGCTGCTGAAAGGAGTGCCTGTGGGCTTTTTGATGTCATGATGGACGACACTGCACAACAACTGGCTATTGTGTCGTTCTACGGACAATCAGGCAACATGCCAGCAGCCAGTGCCCAAGCTGGCGATGCACTCGCTGCATGCACACACTACCGAGTGCCCTTCGTCGTAGCGGGCGATTTCAATATCGAGCCCGCAGAAGCCGTCTTAGGCGAGGCCCTCGCGGCCGGTGCGATTCGCTCGCTTGATGAGGCGGCAGGGGGTGCTCCGCTTCCCCCGACCGGCCCCGGGAGGGTTCGGCGCATAGATCACGGGGTTTGCCACTGGGCACTGGCCGCTTGCAGTGTCGAGCAGCACGACGTCTCCTTCAGTGATCACGCTTCGGTTCTATATCAAATACCTTTTCAGGTGCCCAGCTTCTTGACCATGCCGCGCCGCACCAAAATGCACGCTGCCTCGGCCGAGGAAGTTGAGAGTGCCTTTTCAAGGTTTGATCCCGGCAAGTTTTATCAGGCTATTGGGGCAGGCAACGTTGATGAAAGTTGGCGTATCTTGTCCGATGTTGCCGAAGAATACCTTGCCACCCCGTGCTGCGAAGCCACATTGCGCAGTCAGACTTGGCAGCCGGTTGTTGCCAAATTGGCCCAAGGCGAAAGTGTTTTCGGTTCGGCTGCTACCAAAGTGCTCCGCAAGCTGCAGTGCCAACTTGTGCAACTTGCAAGGCAGGAGGATCCAAGGCTTCGCCAAAAAATTTGTCGTTCTCTTGCCAGGGCTCGTCGTCTTGTACCTAATCTTCCTTGGGTGTCTGACTGGGATTTGCTTTCCTTAAGAGGGGCGGTTGATAACCTTCTTGACCACCATCAAAGGCAAGAAACCGAAGCCATTCGAGACCAATGGAAGCAGATGCTCAGGGACGATGTGGCCCGACAGCGATCGTTTGTCAAGTCTCGTGCCGATGCACAGCTCGAGCACGAAAAAGGTGCATCTCTTGACGAAGCCGCGTGTGCTGCTGGACCGGTTCACCCGTCTGAGGTCGTACGGTCGCAAGCTAAGGAGTGGACAAAGTTGTGGGCTGCACCGCCCAATCCAGACTTCAATGCCATCGATGCGGTCCTTAGCAAAGTTCCGTGTGTTCCTGCATGCGACATTTCGTTGAGTTTCGATCCCGCCTCCTTGAAAGCACTAGCGGCCTCCTTGACCAATAAAGCCCCTGGACCCGATTCTTGGAAAGCCTCTGATCTTTGCCGAATGCCACTTGCTTGGTGGAGCCTGGTTTCAGTTTTGTGGCAACATGTCTGGGATCATGGCAATGTCCCCCGGCTCTGGCGCTTTGCAAAAATTACTCTTATTCGGAAAAGAGGGGGCCCCAAAACACGCCCAATTACCCTGACACAGCTCATTTGGCGCATCGGCGCCAAGCACATCGCTCGTGCGCTGCGCAAGTGGGCTTCTACGTGGGCTTCTGAGTGCGATCACGGCGGCCTCCCGGGTCGGTCTCCGGCTGGCATTTTCTTTCAAGTGCACGCCGCACTCAAGCGTGGGGTTAACACTGCAGCTTTGATGGACGTTGCGGGATACTTTGATAGCATGTCTATCCCTGCCATGGGCAGGGTCTTTGCAAGGTTGGGTGCACCGCCCCAGTTGTCGTGCCTCCTAAAATCCTTTTATGACAGTGCTTTTCGGTATTTTAGCTTCGAGGGATCTTACGACCCCAACTGTCACTTGGTCCAATCGGGGTTCGGTCAGGGCTGCCCGCTTTCTCCAATTGCCGCTGCGGCGCTTTCGCACTGCTGGTGCGAGTACGTGCGTGCCTCCTGTGACAACATCGGCACCCAGATTTTCATGGACGACCGGACCTTATGGGTTGAGCCCTCGGGAGATCTTCAGTGTCTTGATAATGCCATTGTTGCCAGCAACCAATTTGACCGAGCGTTTTCACTTAAACTGTCCTTGGACAAATGTTTTATCGCCGCCAGTGATCATGACGCACCTTCTAGGCAGTTGGCTACAAAGTTCGGTTTTAAAACTTGCAATTCCCTGGACCTGCTCGGGATTTCCCTGCCCTTTTCGGGATTGGGTGGCCTCCCGAAATTTTCCCTTCGCAAAGCAGTGCTTCGACTTCGTTTGCTACGTTGGACACAGGCCTCCACTGCTGCTCGTAGAATGCTGGTTCAGTCTTTAGTTGTACCTTGCTTGACGTGGGCTGCGGGCTTTGCTAGGCCAACCAGAGAGGACATAGATGCGATTCGGGCTGAGGTCCGTTATCTCTTCAGTACCGGCCACGGTGGTGACACGGCCACTGTGGCTTTCTTTGAGTTACTGGGATGGGGTCTTGAGCCTGACTTCGCACTCGACCTCGGCACCTGCAGAACATTGTGGCGATGGGCTTCGCATCCGCCGAGTTGGTTGGAAAATCTTCCCATCAGCTTCCTGCCTGCCCGTTGGCATGCCCAGTTGCCTGAGGTTGAAGCTTTGTTTGCACGCACAGGTTGGTGGTTTGACGACGGTGCAACTAAGATTTGTAGGAGGGATGCCCAAGGTGCTCTTAGGTCCGTCCAAGCCGGTTTTGAGCGCTTCTCTACCTTGCAAAGGTGGTTGGAGGATCACTATCGAGCCAGATACCTCTCACGGTGTCGGCGAGTGACCACAAGCATGCACAGGGGCGGCGATGACGGCCTTGCTACAGGTCTCGCCTTGGGCCCCCCGCCTACTGATTACCGAATCGCGATGCAAGGTCACAAAGCTGCCCTTCGAGAAAACTTGTGTCCTTACACCAAGCGGGCCTCCTTCCTGTCAGGTGGCACCACCTGGTTCTTCAATGCTGCCGCGCCTTCGGGTTTAACTCGAGAGCGAACTTCCTGTTTGTGCGGAGCGTCGCTGCCCAGCCGGGCGCACCTTCTGTGGGTTTGTCCGTCAACTCGTGACCTCAGGCAAGGACTTACTCTGCCGGAGCACCGTGGCGAGGAGCGACTGCTTACAAAGCACATTCGTGAAATACCACCGGCCCCGCCGGCGCTTGACCATGACGGTTTGATTCAAGAAATTGCCGATGCAATCTCCTCAGCCCTCCAAGGCAAACCCCGCATTACCCTTGCGACCGATGGGTCGGCTAAAAGTGGTGTTGCTGGGTACTCGGTGGTGGTTGATAACCCTGAGGTGCATTTCGCTGGTGGAGACGGGTCCGAAGACCAAAGCCCATTCAGGGCCGAAGTCTGCGCCCTGCACCTGGCTCTCAAAAGCCTTCTCGTTGCTGCTGCCGGTGGTGCTGTGGGTCTTGTTTCCGTTGCTGTTGACTGCACGGCGGCCTTACAAGCTGTGCATCACTGCCCTTCAATGCCCCTGTTCAGCGATGCCATCGCCTCGCTCCTCCGTGAAATCAGGGCCACATCACTGCGGGTCAAACTGTTGTGGGTGCCTTCCCACGGCAAGTATCCGTCTTGGCAACCCGATGATAATGAAATTGATGCTGCTGCCGTGCGCCTGTTGAATGACGCTGCCGATGCAGCTGCCAAAGCTTGTGTTGAACGCAGACTTCGCGGTTCTCTTCGGCTTCAGTGGGCTCAGGACGCCAGTGTTGCGAAGAGGTGGGAGCTCCAAGCTGTTAGAGCGTCTGCTAAAACCGCTGAACGGCTTCACAATCATCTCCAATCTCTGGCCCCTCCCTCGTGAACGGGCTGCTACTGCTGCACATGGTGACTCACCAGGGACACTACTCGTGTTGTGCACGACCATCTTGAATGCCGTCGGGCCCTCTCCCACGAGTTCCGTCCTGGCTTGCCTGTGGCACACGGCCTCCCCCACGGGGCCTAGGTTAGGGTTTAGTCCTGGTTTTCCCACCCGCTTGCGCTTGTGGTACTGCACCACCGGCTCCCGGCCTGTGGTGAGTACTACCTTGTGGGCTCAATGGCTGCTGGAAACCTTTACACGTGAAGACTCGCGACGGCTGTCGCTGGTGGGCTGCTGCGCTGCCTTCCTGGGCTGCTGTGGCGGTACCCCTGGGCTGCTGCGAGGACTCCTGAGTTCAAACGTCGTCGTGAACACTGACTGCTTGCTTCGTGTACAGTGTATATACGTTTGGGGCTTCCGCCCTTGCCTGCACTCAGACTCTGTACATCTGATTCAAGGCAACTGAGTCTCTGGAGCTGCATTCGTGCTTTTGGCTCCTTTTAAAGGTCTGTAAGTACCTCGATGCTTCTGCATCTGTAAAGTTTGTCCGGCTAGGATGTGACTTTGCCCTGGTCCGTAGAAGGCTCCTTTGTACACCCCGAGTCCTTCTGTCGCTGACTCTGTAGTTACGCTTTCCGACTGTGCTTGTACAATGTTTGCACACAGGAAAGTTCTTCACCCGAGTGCTAGACTCCGCGTCGGACTTCGGCTACCGCGGGGCTCGCATCACGTAGTGCCAACTTGAGCTTTTGGTGTGCAGTTCAATTGCTCTTGGTCTGCTCTGAGACTCCTGACACGTCGTTCACGTTCGCGTGAGCGGCGCGAGTACCCAACAAGTAAAAGAGGCGCTACTGAAGAAGGCTATGACGACGAAGTTCCCCTCGACCCTGGTGATGATGGAGCTAGCAGAGGAACTCTCCGCTAAGAACTGTGAGCTTCAGCTACAGTGGATCCGGCGCGGCGCTTTCCCATCCAACATCCGGTAGCACCCGCCTTGTGTAGACGGAAAATAGCGCCCGGGACCTCTACGACCACATAGCTACCCTGGCTCCGGTCAGGAACCCTGGCCTGCTTCTTAGCAGGCCG